TGTTGTTTTGTTGAAATGAAGCAATGACTGGATAAACAGAGGAAACATTATCATCTCTAAATCTACATGCATATAGACTGGTTTAATGGGAACTTGGCTGAGACCATGAATAAACAGATATATAATCAAAATTCAAACTTAACTAATCCGTCAATTTCTTTTGTTGGAATCCATGGATATCTCCAGTATAATCCGTGAAGACCATATGACCAGATTTTGCTGAAGATTTTGTAAGTCCAAGAGGATGAACACCTATGTTGTCATGTTACTTCAATACTAACAACTTTATGTTCTATTCTCTTGGCATATATATACAACACGAAGCACCTGGCTGAAACTTTAGAAGATGACAGGGGACTGGAAGATGAGCAATCAACAAATGATGGTCAACTTTGATGCAAGTCGGCTGCTATCAGCTGCTGTAAAGTTCATTTTCATGGTAACTCTATCATTTCACATCTCAATTTGATATAATGAATAAATTACCTTGGATACACTATATCACGAAGTAAAGTATGATGATATTGCAGTTCATACTATGGTAAATGAAAAAGCAAAAACTTGCCTGGTATAATCTTTTGCTCCTATCCAAAATCGCCACTTGACAACGAAACACAAGCAGACCATTCTTGTACAAGATGATTACATACAACTCTCCATACTCCAGACAGGCATTCAAGCCGTTGATATATAAATTTAACTGAATACTAAAGCTGGTAAATTGGTTTTCACTGTGCTTTGTTTTTGTATGTATGGTCATCAGATTTGTTATTGTTATTGGTGCACACCAATAGACCTGTGTTTCCTTCTTTTTGTTTGAATGAACATGGCAATGATGAAACTGTTTTTCCATCATTCGCGGTTTCCACAGATGGGCAGCACCGCTCTATGATGTTCAAATTACCTTCCTTGGATGTCTGAGCCATGTTTATATCTAATACTAAATCTAATTCTTATTTCTATATAAATGCTATCTTGATATATATAATACATCATTCATTGCCAAGATACATATAAAGATGTTCCCAGAGAAATTATACCATATTGGTGATATGTAAAGCAATATTCCTAGTCCACATCAAATAATGTGATCAAAATTGGGGTTAAAATTGTGAACCTTGAAGACTGAAAATGTTCAATGTAAAAGTGTTTCTGGATTTTTTTTTTTTTTTTTTTTACTATAAGGTAGTGTGTTTAACATTAAATTTAAAAAATCGTTTTAAAATGGTTAGTTTTTTCAAGCTGATTTACAAATCACGACAAATTTGAGTAAAATGTGAAAGCTGTCCCTAATTCATGCCCAAGTAATATTATTGGATGTATCGAGTGGTCAGCTATATTAAAATTCCTCTGTCGTCATGGTTGTTGTTTTGTTGAAACGAAACAATGACTGGATAAACAGAGGAAACATTATCATCTCTAAATCTGCATGCATGTAGACTGATTTTATAGGAACTCGGCCGAGATCCTGAAAAGACTGTCTTGAATAAACAGATGTGTGATAAAAAATTCAACTTTAAACTCCGTCGATTTCTTTTGTTGGAATCCATGGATATCTCCAGTATAATCTGTGAAGACCATATGACCAGATTTTGCTGAAGATTTTGTAAGTCCAAGAGGATGAACACCTATGTTGTCATGTTACTTCAATACTAACAACTTTATGTTCTATTCTCTTGGCATATATATACAACACGAAGCACCTAGCTGAAACTTTAGAAGATGACTGGAAGATGAGCAATCAACAAATTATTGTCAACTTTGATGCAAGTCGGCTGCTATGAGCTACTGTAAAGTTAATTTTCATGGTTACTCTTTCTCTATCAATTCACATCTCAATTTAATGAATTTTACCTAAATCTTGCTGCATTAGTTGTGAAAGTGGAGTTCTATTTTTTCATGAAATCGTGTACATAAAATGGACTTGGAAAAGCTGTGAAATTCCAGCCACACAAAAATACTTCTCTAGTTCCTGATCAATCAGTTGTAAGACATCAGGTTTTGTTATGCAGGTGTACTAGTATATTCATTCTAGAAAAAAATTGACATACCAAAAACAGATTTTGCTTATGTACTAAAATCCATCTACACCTTCATCTTCTACATGTATTCTAGACATCAATTAGACCATAAAACATAAATTTGAAGGCCATACAATAGGGCAACACATGTACAAGATAACCAATGGCTGAAATTTTTACATAAAAGGAATCGCTCCTAGCGAGTTTGCCAGGGATAATCTACTTGTGTATGTACTTGTTTGTGACACAGTAATGTCTTGGCTCAACCTACAAAGTAATTATGATAGTCTTGAACCTTTATACACTAACTGCCGTATGGGATCAAAATGAGGCCACTGTTACCATAAATAGATATTAAGTTCCAGAACTTAAGAATTTTCATAGTTGAATGTTTATTCCTTGTGACAAGGCCTTTACGGTCGTAGGTCGTACCAATTTTTTTTACAATTTGACCTACATTTGAAAGTAAAAGAAAAATTTACCACAGTGTCTTGGTGTTTCACATGGTGTACATGAAACAAGCATATCTTGTGCAATACAAATTAATGTGTGAATTTTGAAATTTTGTTGCAACTGAAGGCATAATGTTCATAAACACCTCTTGTTCCTGCTGGAACCAATCAAATTACTTTCCTTGTGCCTTCAATTTTACCACGACATATTCCAGGAGTGCAGAGAGCGAAATTGATTGTAACCCCCGGAGTATCGTGGATGCTTGTAACCGTTTCAGAGCACTTGTCTGGAAAGTGACCTTACATGGATGAATCCCAGTTTAATATCCCCTGCAAACACCTTTCGGGGGGAATGAAAATGAAATTTGTGGTCAGCACCATCACAGAATCCTTCCTGGCAATTTTGAGACCGATCCCGCTGGTATGTGCACAATCAACGGATGAAACGATGATGGTTATAGGTTCCGGATGACCTCATAAAAATACCTAATGGCATTCAACTTAACAGAAAAATAAACATTGTATAATGGTGGACACAAGATCTCTTTTGTTCATGAACATCGATAGCCTTGCAAATTATGATGGTTCAGTAGAATAACAAATATCCCATTCTCCTTTCAGTAAGAGGAAATGTCATTGGGGCTTATCACTGGATAAATAAAATACATCCTTTTTATAGCTTGATATGCCATAGAGATCATGGTGGTCAACTCATAATGATCTCCCATTTTTTTACGCTAGTTCATGTTCATGTAATGCCAAGAGTGATTGAATTGTGTGTAAAACCCAAGCCCAAATTAAAAAAGGTACCTATAGTAACATACTAATATGACTGCCAAGCATCATGATGAAAAGAAAAATACATCTGGAAGAAGACAACAATTTATTACCACAGAAAATATGGAAATATAAAGTATTGCATTTACATATAAATTTTCACCTCCATCTTGAAAGAAATCACAGGTATGCATACATATATTTCTTTCAGAATTTTTGAAAAATGCAGCAAGACAAATTACAGAGGTAAAAATCAATAGATGTATACCTCGCTGGTAATGGCTTAAATCCACTACTGGTGGTACAAGTATGAAAATACATATATTGAAAAGATTTTGAAATACATGCCACACATGTATAAGACACTTTCTGAAACATTCTGAAAGCATGAGAGAAGCACAATTCATTTTCAGTTCAAAATCTTGATACACTTGACATTTCTAACGCTGTGTTGTGGAATTGTTTCAGAAATTCAATTATAGTAAGACTAGTAGTTCAGCGAGGAGCATAAATTTACATTCTTCATAAATTAAAAAAAAAAACATGCTGAAGAGGTTCTTGCTTGGCGGTTGGTTGTTCAAAATACAGATTTAAGAAACTGAAACAGCATTACCTTGAAATACTTCATGCAATAGCACAAGACATTTTCTTAAAAGTGATAATATAACATTTATAAGATAAGGTGATTTGTTTTTTGTAATAATACTTCAGAGTAGATGTATGCTGGTATTTTCACCAAAATGGTGATAGTAATAACAACCAACTGATCTACTTCATTATAACATCCTACTCCTTTCGCAAAAAGCTATCTCAGATATCAGATTTTCTTTCCATATTAAACATTTTTTCCATGTATGAAATGCATGTTGGAATGATTGAATATATATCCTTAATCATGATGTACTAGTACATTGTATTTAAGACAAGATAGTTTACTCTTCTGATATTTTATTCCACATCATATACATGTAGTAAAATATTGCATGACAAAATAGGGACATTCACACTTGCTCACACATGGGCACTTAATAGGTATATCATATATATATATAACGAGCGGTCCAGTAAGCTAGTATCGCTCACACGCAGGCATGAAAGGTACTATATATCATTACATATAACAAGGGTCAAGTAAGTCGGTATTGTTCACCTGGATATTCAAATAATCCTAGGGGGGATAATGCCTCAGTTATAAATAGAAATCACGTAAATTTATTTGAACCATACATTTGCACATTTATTTACAGTAAAAATCTCAGTGAAAATTATCAGGCTGGCAAAATATACAAAGTAAAAGTAGATTATATCTCAAATTGAAAATTACCAGGCTGACAATATCCCTTTTATTTCCAAAAATCCTTTTTACCAAGGTAACCTCAGAGTTATTGGTCTCGTCATGTCTAACCAAGGTCCATACTGGACTAAATATAAGATGGAGAGCTGAATCCTTTCCATGGTTATAACCAACAGACTAAATCCCATGGGGCATGATCCAATATGTAGTTGGCCCCATGGACAGTAATTCATTCCAGGGCTTGCCTACTCAATTTGGATTTTCCTCAGTCCTCTCCTAGGTTTCAACATTTATGCCCTTAGTATTACTGATGGACAGAAGGACTGAAATTTGAAATCTTCATTGAAAGGCTATTCGCTTGTGTCTCTGCCATCCTAGAATCTTGAGATTTTTTCAGCCCTGTAAACCTCGCTGTTGTCTACCGTCTCTTTTCTATGTAAGGACCACTGCTGCAGGTTATCTCATTATATGCTAACAACTGTTTTTGGACCTGGCCCTTTACTATTTTCACTACATAAGAATAATGCTGTCAATAACAAATTATTTGAAATTTTATCAGCAGTTTTTTTGGAGAGTTTGTAGAAATGTTGACTAACAGACAGATGCCACAGTATCATTAAAGCTTGACCTCATTCTTAAGACCAAGTGAGACAACAAAGACAAGAAGAAACGGTTATAAATAGAAATCATATAAATTTACTTGAACCATACACTCCTTAAAACAGTTATACCCACATTGATTACCTGTCAAGGTAAAAGACATTACACTGACAACTATCACATTTAAACTGCCAATTAACTGCTTTAGAAGCAGTAAAACTTTATACAATGAAAAGCTACATTCTTGCATGTATTCCAAATTTCACTTTCCAGCAAATTGTTCAATGGATTGCTGTATATGCTAACTTGAGATTTTTGTTCAGAAACACAACATATTCGAACATTTATGTCTCATATATTGACAATCTGATTAAAATACTGATTTTCAATTTACACAAGCAAAGCTGATTAATGAATCTATAGAGAAGTAGCATTTGTCCTTAGGTAAAACAAATGGAATGAATTTGATGCCTTTTCACTGTTTTGAATATGTTTGAAAACCTTACTTTCATGGACACACTGTATTTTTAAAGATTAATAAACAGGACAAATAGAAAATCAGTGCCACAGGTTTTCTTGACATAAAGCGATATAGTAGAAAAGACTACATCTATCATACATGAATTGTGACTGTTGGTCATTCAGCAACATCAATATTTCATAAATGAATATTATTAAGAATGCAATTGACAGGAAATGTAGCATGAATAGTTAATTAGCAGGTATGTACATGCAAACTGAGGAATCGCTTTAAATGTGTATCGTTGCAATTTTTTGCTTTTGGCTATTACCATGCATTTTAGTACTTGATTTAAAAGTTAAGTTTTCTGTCAGAGAGTGTAGGATTGGAAGGATAAAATAAACCAATTTTCTGACAGAAAATGTGGGATTGTAAGGAAAAATCAACAAAGTTCTTTATGACCTATGATTGAAATTCAGTGTGAACTGGAAATCAAACTCCAACAATTTATGTACAATGCACATCAAAATGTAGTACATGTACATGATAAGAAGCAGAGAGTTCAATCACACAATTGCTCTGTCACTGTGGCTTAGTTCGATAAAAATGTTTCAAAACAATGGAGTTTTCCTCTGATGTCATTAGTTTTTGTATGAAGAGTTAACCTAAGTTTAATTCTTGCTATACCCATGTTCCTCGCATACTGACAATAAAAACCCGTGGATTATTTTGCACATCACAAACACAGGCATATGAATCTACACATATTTTTTTATACATATCATCTTAATTTAACTACTTCTGTTTACTTATTTCTGTGGCTTTTTCGTATTTTTTTCATCTCATAATTCATTGTATTGAAATACTTTGTTTGCACTGAAATTGTAATACATGTATTAACAGTACCCCTCAACCTAATAATATGTTATGAGACTTTAAAGAGTGATTGCTACTGAGATTGTGCATACAAACTGAAAAGGTAAAAATTGATACACACTCCCAAACGGCAGTTGAAGGTCATTATGGCAGATATTGAACAGATATAACTAAATGGAATGACCACAATTTCTTAAATATATTAAGGGGAACCCCCTCATGAAATTTGAGTAAAATCAATCCAGTAATTCTCATGCAACTTCATTAAAATTCAAGATAGTCACCTTTCAGCCATATTGTTTTTCTGATCAGTTTCAACATTAAAATCAAACAGGCACAACTACAGACCAAGGGAGGCCTACATATGAAATTTGAGAAAGACCCATCTTGTACTTCTCGAGAAATCACGATAACAAACCTTTGAAAGTCAAGTACAAGATAGCCGTCTGTAGGCCATATTGTTTTTTTTATTAGTCCCAAAATCAAAGGGGCACAACTAGGGGTCATGAGAAACAAACAAATGAAATTTGAGAAAGATCCATCCATTCCCCTCAAGAAATAGTGATAACAAAGTTAATTGTAATAATTCAAGAAGGCCACCTGTTGTTTTTCTGATCAGACTGAAAATTTAGCAGGCACAAAAAGGGACCTAGGGAACTTTTTTAGAAGGATCCATCAAGTAATTCTCAAGAAATATTGATAACAAAAGATGGTTACAGACCACAGACCAAAAGCAATTTGATGATCGGATGATGGTGAACTAAAAAATAAATTTATGTAAAAAGGAAACCAAGTGGAACATCCAATTTCAAAGTAAGTATTCAATATTCCAATATTTCATATTTTGTAATTGTTGGACAAATATCAAAATTTAGTTATGGAACAGTTGTCTTCATAAAAACAATGCTGCACATTTTACCCTATAACTTCCAAGAAATCTTCTTTACATTTGTCTGTACTGTAATTTATATATAATTTTACACTATCGTACCAACTATTTACATGATGCTAGCTGATTATATGTACATATATCTATTTACCTTGATTTCTATATGATGTGTTTAATTTGTACATCTTTGTACATCAATGCTTACAACAATGCTGATCTGTAGCCGGGCTACTAGACTTGTCTTGTAGGGAAGGCTCCCCATACAGCTGGGATTAGGTAACAGTTCTGAATGTGTGAGAATGTGCATAAATAAGGATGATAATGCTGTCTGTCGAAAGTCCATGCTTCATAAGAGGTCTGTGTAGGCATGGAGGGTGTGAGCAAAACAAGGGATGTTTGTGTGACAGGGCCTGGGCTATACCAAGATCGTTTAATGTCCACCAGATCCTGCCAAGCAATGTATAGATGTCTGGTCTGAAAGCATGGGTGTGGGGTGGGAAGGTTGAGAATCAGAATAGGGCAAGGGGAGTTGCTGCATGTATGTATGGTGGATTGTACTAGATAACTGTACGTTGATGCCCCTGAATATAGATATGAGAACCTGTAACTATGCAAGTGAGCTTGTGCTTTAATTAACCTGGGAGTTAGAGTGCTTTATGTAAATGACTACCTTTTTAATAACTTTGGTATAGTAGCAGCTCCCCTTGGCAATACAGAACTGAAATTTTAAGCCCCACTATAGTTTTGGCAAACATTTCTCTATGTACACTTGTATTATATAAATCAATCTGATCAATCATGATAAATTTTCATATCAACACGACTTTCTTAACAATAAATTACAAGAAGAATAAAATACAAAACAATGAATTAGACGCAGAATAAAATATATAAAATCTAATAGCAAAAAACATATTCAAAATAAATCTATCACAATTTCACAGCAAATTATGTTTAATTGCCTTGCACTTATTAGTCATTCATACATGAACACTTAACTCACAAAATAAATTTCACCACATTTACACAGGAATATTGTAATGGTGAGACTACTACTTCAAAATAACCAGCACTTTTAGAAGTATGGTACAACGAGATACACACTGTCTTAATTCTGCAGCCATCCTCTACTACACAAAACACAAACCTTGAACAAATATGACAACCTACAGACAACAATTCCTCTTAAATCCACTTCTTTTTACAAAACAAACACACTATTGCACTCGTTCTTTCTCACAAGACTCCTCATGAGGAATAAATAGGCAGGGGGTGGGCCTCACTGTTGAAAACGAATTTATCTAATGGTATTAATGAACTATCATCCCCAAATAAAAGATATAAATATTTTAATGTCTCTGCAAGGAAAAAACTTTCTAACTTGTCTCGAAAGGTTGCTTTTGCTGCTTTTACATTATGGATGGACGAAAATCCGCCATTTTCTACTTTAGTATGTTTTAGGAAGGCTTGAAATATGGTCCAGCCCATATCCTGGTATTTTTTATCACCTGTGAAGCGGTACATATAGAACAGGCTCTCTACAGTCTCCGGTCGCAGCAGGTTGTGTGCGTCTGGTGCCTAGAATATCATACATAAACATATATAAATATCTGGAGATAATAACTTTGTATCTAGTAAAAGAAATAATTTATTATTGTCTCTAATTTCAATTACCTTCATATTTAAAACAATTGACCAGCTACTGTATAGCAGAACTTTTCTCCCATATGATAATTCAACTAGAAAGTTAACAGAGACAGGTCTCTTCATGTATTTCCTTGTTAATTATTAAATATTTACACACTAAACGGTTTACCAGTTGACAGGTAAAAAAATTATCTTGACACTGGCCTTTGCTCCTGCACTTCCTCATTTCACTATTATCAACTCTGCTTCATAATGTAAAAACAAATTGAACAATAAGAAAATTTGAAGTATTACTTTGACTTTTAATACTGTGACACAAAAAGTGTTTACAAGGTGGTCAAAGGTGATCTTTGACATTTAACCTTGAATGACAACCAGTACATGAGCAGTATAAATACTTGGAAAGCAGAAAAAAAAACAAAAAGATTGATGCACCTACTTTAACAATGAGGTCCTCTTTGGACTGTGCAGCCTGACTGAAATAGACAATTTCTGGACTGAGTTTGGTGGGCATCCTGGCATACATCTGGAAACAGGTTTCAGTGAGACGCTTGGCAATATCAAAGTGGTCTGCTGGCAAACCATTCTTGTACCCCAGAGCCATTGTGCCAGGCAGATAGCACACAAGGTGATCCTGTAAGCAAAGAAAATACAAGTTATACAAACAAAAAACTTCTCAAATATTCTCAAATGAAAAAAAAAGAAAAACACAAGCATAGTTATATCAAAGTTCATTAATGTTAAGGAATTTGATGACTAAATTGAATTTAAAACAAGTTAAAAAATAACAATGATGAGTAAAATTCTGGATGCTGTCAGCTAAATACTTCACTGACTTCATTCTTCTAAGATACAAAATTGCACATGCTTAACAACACTGAATCAGACAAAGTGTGTTCAGTGCATTTCACTTAAAACAGAAGTGTATTATTACTTACAGGTGATAGCAATATTGTCAAATGTTTCACTGACTGGCTAGAGGGATGGACAACAGAACCTAGCCTTATAGGATGTTGTGGTGATCAAATACCATTGAGTATAATTTAGGAATAAAGAAAGAATGAAGTATCATTAGATAAGAATGATGTCATTAGGTGCTTCACTTTGTGCATTATATCTTTACAAGCTTAACTATTGTTGAAAATAATATGTTACCATTTTGGGGCTAAATGTACGACTTCCCAACAGCTCTCCTAGGTACAGAAGTTTGGAAGGAGATGACTCCCTTAACAGGTGTTTCTTCACTCCATCAATAGCCTCCATAAAGTCATCTTTGAACCTAGAAGAAAAACACTCCATATCAAAACCTCAAACCACTTCCTCAATAAAGCTCAGCTTGTTAAATGTCATACTTCAAACAATGTGAACTACATGTACTTGACCAAGATTTTAGAGACTGCTTTCTTTGTTGTCAATAATATGTACTAGCCAAAGAGTTAGATAATGCTTTCTCTGTTGTCAATAATATGTACTGGCCAAAGAGTTAGATAATGCTTTCTCTGTTGTCAATAATATGTACTGGCCAAAGAGTTAGATAATGCTTTCTCTGTTGTCAATAATATGTACTAGCCAAAGAGTTAGATAATGCTTTCTCTGTTGTCAATAATATGTACTAGCCAAAGAGTTAGATAATGCTTTCTCTGTTGTCAATAATATGTACTAGCCAAAGAGTTATATAATGCCTTCTCTGTTGTCAATTATATGTACTGGCCAAAGAGTTATATAATGCCTTCTCTGTTGTCAATAATATGTACTGGCCAAAGAGTTATATAATGCCTTCTCTGTTGTCAATTATATGTACTGGCCAAAGAGTTATATAATGCCTTCTCTGTTGTCAATTATATTTACTGGCCAAAGAGTTAGATGATGTTTTCTTTGTTGTCAATAATACGTACTGGCCAAAGAGTTAGATAATGCTTTCTCTGTTGTCAATAATATGTACTGGCCAAAGAGTTAGATGATGCTTTCTTTGTTGTCAATTATATTTACTGGCCAAAGAGTTATATAATGCCTTCTCTGTTGTCAATTATATTTACTGGCCAAAGAGTTAGATGATGCTTTCTTTGTTGTCAATTATATTTACTGGCCAAAGAGTTATATAATGCCTTCTCTGTTGTCAATTATATTTACTGGCCAAAGAGTTATATAATGCCTTCTCTGTTGTCAATTATATGTGGTGGACAACGATTTAGATAATGCCTTCTCTGTGGTCAGTCCTAGACAAAATTGCCTCCATAGTTGTCAGTAATACATTATGAAAAAGAATTAGCGTCTGCCTACTCTGTTACTTGTATACGACAAGATTTAGAAAGAATCCTGCAATTGTTTACTGAAAGTGTTGATTATTCAAGAAATTCTTAATTTTCAAAACTTACCAACTTTAGATAATTCTTGCCCAAAAATAGATCAAGGCATTAAATCTATATCTCTTAATTGGTACCTTATTTTACTTACGAACCTCACAATCTAACAACATACAAAAGTTGGTTTTACTTACACTTCAGAGAAGCTTACTTTAACACAGCTTCTTAAGTTTTGGTGTGGATACTGATGGAAAAATGATACCTTAGTCTCACAATTGCTTCTAGGACTCAATGAGACAACATCCTATCAAGTTGCTTACCATAGTAATACCAAGGATTTTGTTATGGATTGTCACTCACATGTTAATTGTTTTGCCTGTCTGGATCCATTGTTTCAGAAGGTATTCATAGTAGCTGTCTCCTCTGGCCCCGAAGGTAATGGTGCTAGTCCCTCTAAAAGAACCGGTGTTGGCATTGACAAAGATGGGCACTAGACCATCCTTTTTAGGTAAGCTGTGGATGTGCTCACTAACAGTCATCACAGCATTCTGGGAATCAATGAATGAGAATTACACTCATAACATGAATACTTTGAACAACAGAAAGATATATCTAGCTTCAATCATGTTACATGTAGTGTACACCAAGCAGATCAGATAAAATATATTCTAAGCTAATTATTGATTAGAATACCAGGTGTATAAGTTTGTGAATAACAAAATGGCTATAGTCCTTCCATCATCATTGAGTCTACATCCTTGCTGTTTTAAAAACTGCCTTTTCATTGAATCACAAGTTTTGCTGTGATCTCTGGCACCTGTATACACTCAATACATGACCATGTTGACAAATACATCTAATACCTACCTCATATTTGTCATCCTTTGTGACACGAGAAAGGTCTCTGAACTCTAGCTGTATAGTAGTGACCTCAGAGGTACTGCTGTCTGGGCCCCATCGTGGGGCATGAGCACGGCTCGTCATCATATTCACATCTGAAAATGGCACTTTAGATGGGGAATTAAAACACGGTAGCAGTCGGTTACCAAGGTCAACCTGAAAAATATAAAAAATCAATGTTAACCTCAACAATATCCAAGCATGTCAACTTTATCCAGCTTAACCTGATTAATATTTATACAAACTTTACCCATGTCAATCTGAACAATATCTGATCAGTGTCAACATTAGGAAGGAAAATTTGAACTGTTGAAAAAGAGTTTCAGCTTAATTAACATGACAAATTACATATTTGGTTTAGTAAGTCAGCACCTTCACTGCCCACTTTCAATCCTTACCCCAATATAGTGTTACACAAAGCAATTATTACTGGTGCATAAATTCATCAATACCCTAATTAAAAACATGATTTGCTTCAATTTTATTGTTTTATTGTTTACAGTACATCTTATATCTAAAACTCACAGCCTTCTCCTTGAACAAGTCATCCCCAGTGAGATGGTATGTGGCTAACAGTCCTCCAAGAACTCGGATTGTGATTTCAAATAAATTCACATCCTTATCCTTTTCAAAAGTTAATTCATTTGCAACCCATTCTCTGGCATCATCATATTCTGTAACAAATAATGAAGTATATGATAGTGCAATGTACATGCATATTTCATATATCGGATAAATTGATTGTAATTAAATACGAACTGAGCACTGGAAATACTTAGATCAAATATTACAGCAATATCATTTCTCGGATTAAATGATGTCCTATCATATTATTAATTTGTGACTTACACAAATATGGATGAATGATAATATAGATCAATGTAATTTATGTGTATATTGCCTTTGGCTCCATGGGTAGATTTTCAGTGTCCAGTTTACTTTTTGGATCCTACTTACTTTACCTGCCTTAATCATCTGTATTATGTTGCAGTGCAAAATATATAGTGTCATACTTGTAATAAATCAGCTCATTGCCAAAGCCTCAATTAATATGAAATTAAGGATAAATGAAAGAATTATAGAATGAATAACTTAATCACAGAATAAATGAATAATTCAATGAATGAATAAATGAATGAATATTGCTATGATGTTAAATGAGAGTCTTCTTGCATGAGGACAGATGCTGTATCTAGGGTCCAAAGTCTGGCTGTGGTTTTTACATATTGTTCAGGGGCACTAAACTATTGATTGAACTGTTAAAAAAAAGTAAAAGGATTTGGTGACAATCTACTACATGACTACAGAGGAGTTACCTAGTACATGCATTGATTGACTTTCACAAGTTCAGTAAAAAAAATCAGCAATACCATCCAATTAAACTGTTTTTTCCTAAATCATCCAACTGAGGATGCTTAGAAATTAAGATAGATTATATTGTAAATTTATAAGATATAAATTTTGTATAATGTGATTGTGTCCACCAAATAGAAATATCTTTAAGAAATGAAATCCACTGTATTAGTAACCTCTTTATAAAAATGGACCTTTGTACAAACCTGGTTTGAGTCCCAATATGACCAGTGTGTCCAGAGAGTCTACAATTGTCAGACCTACTCCAAACCATTCAGAGTGTGTTCGGGTGATAGGATGGAACTCATCATGTCCCCAGGCATATTTTTTGTAGGCATTCCAGGCAAATCTGAAAGCATCCACTACTGCCTCTTGCCTGTCTGTCCTTTTACCTTCCTCTGTAAAATAATAACACTTAATAGGTTGCCTTTTTGTGAAGATTGAGAGAGATTTGTGTCTTAAAACATGAGTAAAACAAGTTTATTTTGTCAGTATCTATTACATGGAAAATATTGGACTTGCAAATTTTAAGTAAGGAAGAGTAACATTACATATTTTCAGTTCTTGCTCTTAAATGCTGGAAATATGACATGGCTAAAATGAAATATTCCAGTTTTGACACCAAAATTGTGAAATTTGCATGTGGTAAAATAGACATGTATTATGGTATTGTATTTTGATAAAATTAAATAACATTACATAGAGCAAACTTTTTGAGTAAACTACATTGACTTCTATAAACTTTCAAATTAATTTCAGTTCAACTTTTTCTGGTTCATAAAAAAGAAAACATAATTTGACACATGGATTACACTTCATTACAATGTTTCACTAAAATGCAGACTTGTGCAACTTTACATCTGCTGTGTTTCTTCTAGTTAATTACGGTAAGCCCTATTATTCTTCCACTAGAGATAGATACTTTGTTTATAAAGCTACATAAGTATGTACATGTGATCTAAGTCTGATGGCTCTATCTTGTGAAAGATGTTTAAAAGTTCATAATTCAAAATAACCAAGATCTGTGTGATTTTTCATATGTTGAATATGAACTGGTCTTCACTCAACTAGGATCTATTTTTGTAAAGTTAATAATGAAGTCAACTTACGATGAAAGTAGTCATAAGGTGGTACAGCATGCTGATCGACATTGAAGTCTGGGTCTGCTGCTTTTTCTGGCTGATTCTACAAAAGCAACAACATTAATTGAAAGTCAGGCATTACGAACATAAATCCTATTATTAGCAACTGTGTCTGCAACAACCATTATTGGTGGGACCATTGTAAGCATTTTATTTTCTACATAGATAACACTTCTATCCAGCAAATATGTGTATGAATCATTGATACTTTGTGTATTTTGTAGACAATTGGCAGAATTCTACATTTTTGTATAATTTCAGAAATATATGATGAATAAAACAATATTCCATCAAACTTTCAACTTTACTTCCGGGCTACTTTCTTGTACAACTGTATCATAATGCAGCAGAATATACAATTATTGCCTTTTGATGAGGTTGAGACACAGTCTTATTAAATTCTGTGGGAGCAAGTTCTTTCCTTTGATTTGCTTTTAATTATTTGTTGTTATGACAAGTGAACCAATCATACGGAAATGGAAACCTATATATGAAAGTTTAAAATCTAACAATATAGATTCTAAATAGTCACCAATCCTCTTCACATTTTTCAAATCACTCACAAAACTGATGAAGCAAAACAAAGGATCAATGATTTTGTTTTTTCTAATCAGTCCCAAGGTCAGCAGGGCAAAACCATGTATCAAGAGAAACCTGCATATGAACTTGAGAATGATCCATCATGGCTTCTGAAGAAATACCAATTACAAACTTTCATTGTCAAAATCCAAAATTGCCACCTGTCAGCTATTTTGTTTTTCTGATCAGTCCCAAAATCAAAAGGGCAGAACTTGGAACAAAAGGGAACCTACATATGAAAGTTCCATCCAGTAACTTTTCAAGAAAGGTGATAATTAGAAATGTTCTTGTAACAGATGACAGGTCATGGATGTAGAATGATTTGAATAGTGTATTAAGTAAAAAAAAAAAAAAGAATAAAAATTATATGGGAAACTATATAGGAAATTCAAAATTGATCCCTCCAGAACTTTATAATGAACAGCCCCAAAATCGAACATAACAACCTGTTGGCATTTTTTTTTCTTTTTCATCTCAAACAAAATATGCACAACCCAGTACCAAGGGGAGTCTTATATATTAGATTTAAGAGAGGCCAATCCAGTACTTCTCTAGAAATAGGAATAACAAATTGTAACTATCAAAATCCAAAATGGCAATTTGTTGGCCATTTTGTATTCTGATCAGTCCCAAAATGAGGTACCATGGGGAGTATAAATAAGTGTTTTGAGAAGGATCAATCCAGTACTTATAATAGCATAAACTTTCAAAATCAAACATGGTGTCGCAAATCCTAATATTGAACATGTACAACCATATAAAATGCGGAACCTGCATATGGAATTTTAGAATCTTATCAGTAGTAGAAATAACAAGTATTCTTTATGGACAGACGGATGGATGACTGACTATAGATGAAGGATGATTTTAAAAGCATACCATCATCACAACATCTGATGATGGTGAGCCACAAATAGCAACTCATTTTGAGACATTTTGGTAATACACAACCATTTCATATCTAGGAATCAAATTCCACTGCTTTTCATTCAGGAATCAAACTAACATTTCTTTACAAATGAAACAGCATTATTCTAATAAGACATTTCAAAACAATATTCAGTGGGGGACCCATCCATTTCCTACAAATAATGGTACATTGTATATGCTTATTTGCTATAATACATATACAGAATAATACAACAACCCACCAGCTGACCATCTACATTGTCGTCTTTGTCATTATCATCTTCTTTTCCAATGTCACCATTTTCATCCCTTTCAAGGATTTCCTGTTTCTCATCGGGAGGAAGTAACCCTACTTCCTCCCCTCCCCCATTAGGAGGTCGATCTACAACTTGTTTTAGCTGAGGTGGTGGCTTCTTAACAGGTCTCCTTTGTCTCTGAAGACGTTTCTGAAAGATCACCATATTTTAAAATGCATCTTTTGATTTGATATAACCATATACCCTAAACTGATGTTTTGATACATGGCAATTTTTCACCAAATCAATCAGAATGTGCTTTAATACATTCATTACAACTTCTTACATCAAGAACAAATCTGTTTCACAAAATAAATTCCTTAGAAACATGCCTATCATCTGTCCATATTGCCCTGCATCTCTAGATAGTCTGCTAAACTGTTCTCTGTTCTTAAACAATTATTCTCATTGCTATTTCTTGAGAAGTACTGGATTTTCATATTAAGGTTCTACTAACTTCCTTGTTGTGCTCTTTTGATCATAGGACATATCAGAAAGACAAGATGGCTGAAAGGTTTCCATCTTAATTAATTAATTAAGTTCCCTATCACTATTTCTTCACAAGTATCAGCTGGATCTTTCTCAAATTTCATATCTAGGACCCCTGGCCTGTTGTATTGCATTGTATATTTTGGGACTGATAAAAATGGCCATCAGGCAGCCATCATGGATTCTGACATTGGCTGTTTGTTGTTGCTACTTCTTGAGAAGCACTGGAATGACCATTCTCAAATTAATTTTATTTGCAGGTTCTACTTGGTCCTAAGTCTAGGTGTGCATTAATTTGTCCATTTTGCAACTGATAACAAAAACATAATAGTCGACAGGTGACAATCTTGGATTTGACAGTTAAGAGATTATTATATGTATCACTATTGTACCACAATGGAGGGTGCTAAGATCCTATTGGGATCTCTTATTCCATTACTTTAAGAACATGAAATTACGTTTCAAGCACTGTATACACAATGATAATAGGACACATTCATAAGCTTAATTTTAGAATGCAACAGTATGTACACAGTACCAAAGGAAATTAACTATATTCAAGGCTAAATACTGACATTATACTCATCAATCTGTTGCTTAGCAACCCTCTGAAGGGCTTCTTGTTTATTTCGCTTGGGTACTTCCTTTGGTGGTTGTATCTGATGGTTGTTGTTGGAATTTTCTCTACCCATTATCTTGTCCTGGAAGAATTCATGGCCATTTTTATCATTAACAGCCACTTTGTCCACTGCCTGTCTCCTCTCCTTATTTGCTTTGGCATCTTCACCTGACAAACGGTTGCCATGGTGAATAGCCGGCAAAATGTATAATGCACTAAGTCCTCCTAGCACAATAATCAGACAAATCACACTCCTCTGGAGGCTTGAAAGTCTCTTCCATACCTGTTGTGTTCAAAAATGATTTTCATTAAATACATTTTTATTAATGTCAACTAAGTTCAATCAGTGTTGCTGTTATCATACAAATGTTAATATCATATTACATTAACATACAGTATTAAATCAATATATAATATTACCATGTTAATATCATATTACATTAACATACAGTATTAAATCAATATATAATATTACCATGTTAATATCATATTACATTAACATACAGTATTAAATCAATATATAATATTACCATGTTAATATCATATTACATTAACATACAGTATTAAATCAATATATAATATTACAATGTTAATATCATATTACATTAACATACAGTATTAAATCAATATATAATATTACATTATACACATATAGACAAAGTATTAAATGTCTTGAGTTGAATATTAATGTAATTCACTAAACCCTTCATTTCATTGCTATCTCATATCCATCACCATATCTAAGTCTGGCCCTTTTGTACTACAATCTGTGTCAGTTGTAACTTGCTAAATTCCAGTAGTCACAGATATAATACCAAACTTTGGCTGCATGGACATATAATGTCAAAATAATACATTAATTGCACTGTACATGTTTTTATCAAATATGATGAAATCCCGCTATCTTTCATATCCTGACCACAGGGCATGTTGCGAAACAAATTATGTTAAATAGGTCAGAACCTATCAACATGCTGATTATATATTACATTTAGCTCCAAACATTTTATAAAATTTAGTGTAACAAACCCCTTTGAAAGTTGCTGTATGACAATTAAAATACTCTGGCCGTTCGTTCTGCCAGCCCTCCAGCCTTTTATATCCTGTTGCTAATGACAGTCAACTACAATGACCTATCTGGTCACTGGAATCAACCACTATTAATATTGAATATCTGGTTGACACAATCTTCATCCAGTTTGGTGGCAAGATATTTTTTGGCATACCTATGAGAATTAATTGTGCTCCCTTGTTGGCCAACTGGTTTTTGTGTTCATACCAGGCTAAATTTATTGAAGAACTTATCAAAATAGGTCACAAAAATTTTGGAATTTATTTAATTTCACTTTCAGATATATTGATTGATTCTTGTCTTGGAATAACAAGAAATTCATTGACCACATCCATCATATACTCAAAGGATAAAGATACGCAGGGTAAACTATGAAAAGGCATGTGCTGCCATCCAAGCCATATGACGCTGGCAACAAGCAGCAGTAAGGAGCAGGCAGACCTACAAATCTGTAGACCAATTTCCCGCAATCATTTCCTTACAGTTCACGCATGGAAAGGACAGTTATGAGCACCTATGGTATGAAGGGCAAATTCAGTGGCAGTAAAGTATAAATTGTGCAATTGTGCAAGACACATAAACCTCTACTGAGGTTGTGATGTTACACGCTGATGCCAAGACCTAGGTCTGTAAGCAACCTGGCCAGTTTCCCTCAGACGTCTAACAAGACCTTCTATAGTGCAAATATGGACACTGAAATGTCTTGCAACCTGTATTTGCCTTTGACTTTGCACAATCCTCACAATGGCCTGATCCCTCTGCCGTGCTATCATTTAATTCAATCAGAAATTAATCAAAATATGACGAAATGTGTAACTCAATGTCAGAACACTGCTGTGCACGAGATTTTCCCATTTCATGCTTTCCCTGGAAGACATTGTCATGCAATACAATAATGCAACATTCGATACAGGACCACATTCAATGTTACCTAGAGAGTTGCATGACCGATTTGCATTGTTTTTTAATGATGTGTTCACAAGATATTGCAAAAATTGTCATCCTACGTTTCTTAATCCCTTAGGTATATATGCCTTCTGCATAGGTAAACTAGGACATTATAGACTCTTCAGCCACTTATCTTGATCTCTTCCTACAAGCAAAAAAAAGGACAACTTCCCATCATTTTTCAGGAGTATCTGTGTAACTTTTTTTGGTTCATAATTTGCCCTTGTTTAATTGAATGAGCTTGGAATATGACTATGGTGTTATTATTTTCTCTTTTTTTTTTTTTTGCTTCACATCGGTATCCTGATTACTATGCTTGCCTTGGGGACTGATATCCTTAAATGAACATTGAGCCATCCAACCCTAAAACAAAGTTCCATATGATACATATAGGTATATTGTTAGAACTGCACAAATGTTCAACTTACTCTCCAAATAGACTGTCTCTTCCGTGGTTCTTTCTGGTCATCATCAAAACCAAGACTGATAGATAGAAAGTCTCGCTTAGCTCCAGACATATTGCTTCCTAATGCTTCTGAGACCTTCGTTCTGTTTGCATGTCTTATTGGTGTTGCGTGTTATCTAGAATAGCTTTACTTTCTGTGAATAGGCTGAACACGTATGGACGACAGAGCCCCATTGGAGGGTTATTATAAGTTGCAAATCGAAAACGGAATACACCATACTTATCCGGATTTAGCTGTAATTATAAGAAAAAGCAACATCATAACAAAGATTTTTTTAAAATACTAATGAAAAGCCAGATATAGGTCAATATGAGAAAAGAATATGAACACATATCACAAAGTACCTCAATACCCTGGCATATGTTACCCGGAGATAAATTTAGATGTATGGAAAGCCGATGTCTTTGTTTATTCATATGTATAGCAACAGATAGAAAGAGAATATGTCAGAATGATCAAAATTTTAATGAAATGGATAATTTTCTCATAAGCTGTGTTATGGTAATGAAAAATGTATACGCATAACTATTTCATGCATCCATATAAAAATGGATAAAATATATTGGGGGAAAATCCGAGTACGATTGAAAAATACTGAAAATCAAAATTACGACCAATTTTCGGTATAAAGGTACTATAATATAACGTAATGACATAGAAATATGGTATGGAAGAGAAATATTTGTTTCACTAAAGAAATATATACAAAAGCATATAAATTTGATTAAATAAATAAACACTTTATGTAAGTTTTTTGATAACATTCAAAAACGTCCTTGTGGTTAACATAATAAAATTAGAAATATCAGAGACGTATATATACGTCTCTGGAAATATGCAAGAATTCAAAGTACATTGAATTTGCAAATGAATCCTAAGTAACTATGCTGGGGGTACAATCAATTAATTATCCACATTGAACATTGAAAAAGACTAATTATAAGCGGATATAATAATAGAAACACACACACACACATATATATATATTCATAGAAACATCTCATTTATTGGCAGGCGTATACATATTTCCGGCAGGCGTCTGCAGGCGTATTTAAGTACAACCCCTATCCGGAACATTGTTCACAATAAAGTTTTATTAGAATCCCCTCACATTGGCCAAGTTTACGACAATGATTATAAAAGTTTCTAATGTGTAATATTATCTTTACAATAATAAGATGAAGTACCTCAGGTGCAGCCAAACTGTGATATCATTTCGAAGAAAGTGAATGTAATGAAATTTTATTTACCAAAATATTAACGACAGTGAACAGACTACTTAATAACTTGAAGAGCAGAGACCACGATGCCGATCTGGATTTACAGGTAAAACAAACAGTTTAAGGAAAACATTTTGTAAAAAATAAACTTGTGCATATTTGTTAACTATCTATTGAAATACATATTTTTGTATAAAGCGTTGTCATATCATTGTGTACATTTTAATGATATTTAAGTTGCTGGGACTTGCATTGGACGTTCCCGCTGAATGTCGCAAATGAAGGGAGATAATCAAACAAATGGAATCAAGCTGACCATTGCATATATGTCACACCCAGACCTCACCCGAGAACAAACTTATACAATAACATATTTTATCAACATACATTGGTATCATTATGACATATCTCTGACTCTTTTTCTTTTCCCCGTACGTAGTGATCCTACTAGGGCAGTATCGGGTTACATCACAAGAATTGGACTGTTGTTTTAGCATATAACTATGTATGACATATAGAACGTCCGAATACCATTCACATCCACGCCGAGGAACTTTCTTCCAAATCCAGGTACAGAGTAAATATCTTAGAGGATCCCTGGTTATAAAAAAAAACTGATTAACACAAGATGTGGAATCATAGTAGATGCCTAATACTTAGATACCTGACTCGTTATATATAGATAATACATGGTCAGTGTTATAAAATATCAGCTGTATTTTGGCGAGGATGAAGAAAGACAAAAGTGGCGATACATTGTCAATAGATGTGACAGCGATTTTATGAAGTTTCATTAATAAAACATATTCTTTACAACACATAAAATCACTTATTTCAACAATTATTTGTATTATCAAACAACTTGAAAGCAAATTCAGAAAGTAATATGTCAAATTATGGCACCTCAGTGCCGAATACAGCAAAAATAATGGCAGCACCAGTTGCAGGTTAAAGCTATTTATCACATATAGAATATCCGATTGCACTGGTGATACTAGGAAACAAACAACTATGAGACTACCTTAGAAAACAAAAGACAATAAAATCAATCCAAATGAGGCCTTAGTTAGTTTAACTATTGGTTAGACTTATTTTATTAAACTACACATATAGGCGATATAAATTGATTGATTTATCCAAGAAACTTTATTTCATGTCGAATATTATAAACAGTAAACATAAGCTCTGGTGCGCGTGTACTTTGTATCCGATCACTTGACAACATCTAAGATCACTTGATAACATATAGGCCTTGTTACACAAGTCTTCCCCTTCTGATAAATTAGTACACAAGTAGACAAGGAAAAAATTGCACTGTTGTAAATTATATAAGACATTGTTTATATCTATTTATATGTTATCTACCCATGATTTAATTTTTGGTCTTGGTTGCCGTTGATGGTCAGCATTCCTTCCTATATAAAAAGATGAAATTTTAGCTGACCCATACATGGATTGCTAAAATTTCATGTTCCGTGAGTCCTTTTTAACATAGGTGCTAAAAGCAAAAAGTCTGACAATGCAAAATTTAAGTATTTCAAGAAATGTTCTTTTTTTAATATCCAAAATCATTATAACACCAGGCTGTTAGAAAATTTCATGTTCTTAAAAAGTTAGCAGTAGTGTTTTTAAGACCAAACATCTGACCTTTATGTCAATTTGTTTAATGTCTGATTTTGGTATCACAGGAAATAAATAGAATTTGATCCTTCACTATAAGATATTATCAGGGAATAAGGAATATATAACTATTGATGTAATCCCTTTCATCGTGAATTTTCTGAGTTGAAAAAAGGGTTATGTGTATAGTTATAATTTCAGTTCGGATGAGTAGTACATCGTATATGTATTAGTTAAAAGTACATGTCACCTTTACTTAATAGCCTCAGCTAGTGGAAATTTGCAGTCAGTTTAGAGGTAGTGTCTGCCTAGAGACCAAAGGGTCACTAGTTTTAAACCCGGCAATGGCAAGAGTGTTTTTTATTATTCCTTCCTACAGATTGGGTGTCATTGATCATTTCAAGAGTTGAAATTAGAGGAGATTTAGATGCTTCCTTGGAGATGTTGAACCTAGGTTGTTGTCATTAAGGTCTAAGATGTCATGAAGGAGGGAGTAGTGTAGAACTTTTAGAGTACAGGTTGACCTACTAGCCTCAGCTAGTGAGAATTTCGCTTTAGTCTAGAGGTGGAGTGTTCAGCTAGAGACCAAATGGTGGCTAGTTCGAAATCCAGTGGTAGCAGGGTATTTGTCATTACACCTTCCTATTACATCTATTTTTGAGAAAAAAATGAAAATATTTTACTTTATCCGTATATGTAAAATTTGTATCTTTAATTCTCTTTCAGGATTTCTTAGATATAAACGACCATGTGTTCAAATGTGAATAAAAAGATGAGTGATCAGAGGAAACACAAACCAACATTGCCATTTGGTTGGATTGTTCGACAGTCATCCTCTTTCCCTGACAGAGTTTACTACTTCAATGTGCAGACAGGAGCCACAACATGGGAAATGCCAGATCTGCGGAACCTTGCTCAGGTAACCAGTGGCTAACGTGACTCTAACAAATGTTAAATGTTTTATTGTACTTTTATGATAACTCAGTAATTTGAAGATATATTAAACAACAGAATTAAAGAAGCATTATACACATAATTATAAGAATATACTTAGATAATACTTTCATCAAGCCCACTCACTTCAGTATCACAATGTGTACATGTAAAGATTGAGTAAAAATTTTGAAAAGTAGCAAAGGAATAACTTAACGAAATGCACCAAGTCAAAAATTTCACAAAAGGCAAGTGAATAGCACCTTTTAATGTGAAATGCCATTTCCTTCAATTGCAGTGTTATAGTGATAGCTGTTTCTTATTTTTGATATATTGGTAAAGTTACATTTATTGATAAATAATAAATTAGGTGTCTTAAACAACATGCTAGGTATTGAAAACCAAAAATATTTAAATGGATATTTCACGCAAGTGAAGATTTCTTGGAGTGCTTTTATAGAAAAATACAAAATCATTTACCTATGTTCTTCTGGAAATCATAGACCTCAATTTACCATTCAAACAAATATATATCTAATTTGAGTAAATTATAAAATCAACAGAAAATAAACTTAACGAATGATATCATGGTAACTCCAGCAGAAATTTTAATTAAGAACATACTCACTAGTGTATTTAGACGGTTTGGCTGGGAGTATTCCCATGGATTTTGCCTGTCTGAACTGATCACAGGAGAGCTATATTGATGCTAAACTAGATGTATACCATGTAACATAGTAGAGATCAGTGTAGCTGATGGGAGCATTACTGTATGAGATTAGCACTTGGAAGTCATAGTTTCAGGAAGGCAATTTGGCATTTTCGATTATCTGAAATATTGTGGATGATACCATTAGTTTTTTAAGATCACATCTAATAAGGTTGCAAGATGATGGTGGTATCAATTAAATGCAATATTTTTTCATGTATCCTTCAGAATTCAAACACTTCCAATACCAGTAAAAGGCACTCAGATGTCAAACGTAGCAGTCGAAAAGCAGGTGTAAATAAACAAGTAACGGATGTGAACAAGCAGGTGCCTGATTTGAACAGACAAGTTCCTGGTGTAATTAGTCAAGAACCTTATATAAACCAAACAGTTCCTGGTTTAAAGCATCAAGATTCTGGTTTGAGTCCACCATTTCCTGCTGTGAGCCATCAGATTCCTGGAGGAAGTCCATATTTTCCAGTTGAAGCAAAGTTTTCACCAGAGTTTTCAGATGACGATGATGATAACCTTGACCTTAATTTGAATACAAGTGATAATATTCATCCTTCATCAATATCCAATAACTTTGATAATCAAAAAGACTATAGGACCAGTGAAAAATATTCTTTCTTAAAGAAAACAAACCAAGGTGTTTCCACAGTTACAAAAGAGCAATGGAAACCATTTGAGTATTGCAGTCCTAGTCAAATAATCAACAAATGCGAAAAGAAAAATCAGGGGGAAGGGTCATCTGCAGCCAGTGTTAGAAGCAATAGCAGCAGTGTAGAAAATGCTAACAGATTTTGTAAAGTACAGAAAACCCTGGCAAGTGAACCTGGGATATTTCCCACAAAGAAAGTTAAGTTATCTGGCACTGGCATTGATACTAAGGGTTCTAGTTCAAGGTATGTGCTTGGTGAAAAAGACAATTTCAATTCTAAACAGTCTCTGATAGATACTGCTAAACAACTACCAAATCCACCGGATATTTTAGTTGGAACAGAAACATATGCTATGTCAAGTGATCATCAGGGCAACAATGGTAGTAAAGTGATTCTTGGTCAGAAAAGGAAAGTTAAAGACAGGCTGGGTTCCCAACTGTGTTCTGCAATTAATAGAACAGAAGATAGTAGAAAGATTGATAAAAGAAAAGTGTGCTGTTCACCAAAAGGCTCTGAGATTAAAACTGATATAAAAACAATTCAACATGAATCAGGAAACACTCGAACAAAAGTGAAAAAGAAATCGATAGGCAAACACAAATTAAAAAATGACAACACAGACTGTGAAATGGCCAAAACGTTAAGTGGTGATGTGAGGAAAGTTGTGTCATCATCTGAAACTAGTCAGTGTTCATTACCATTAGCAGATATTCATGATACTGAACTGGCTGCAAGAGACAGATTTAACGCCAGTGGGAATATGCAAGCATCTGATGTAAATGTTCCTAGCCAGCACCTAACTGATCCAGAGAAACTCCACAGCATTCAGTCCTGGATAGATCAGTGTGAACTAGAGGATGATCTGTCTGACAAGTCTAGTGAAATATTTATACCACAATGGAATTTTTCTTCACCCTATCATGATTCTGGGCGTGATAGTTCAGTGCCCAGAAATCATTCAGACAGTCGACGAGTAGTTGTGACAAATGACAAGTTATCAATATCAACTGGTGATAGTGTTCTGCAACCATCGGGTGGTGAATCACATAGAGACACCAGTACTGGTCCGAGAAATAATTCCTGGAAAGGTATTTTAGAAGCATATCATTGAATCACATTTTTTCGAACTTACTAGTCTTGTTTGGTAATGACTTCTTTTTGACCTTAGACCTCGAGTGAAAGAAGTATATTTGGTTCATAGCTATGGCTCCACCTCCATTTTAGGTAATGACACCGGACACGGTATGTGCTGTGTCACCCAACTGATTTAAGTAAATTGTGTTGAACTGGTTTTACTGGGATGTAAGGGCATGCCTATTACAGATATAAATTTGAGAAGAACATCAGATTTGATATGTTGATACAGATGCTGTGTTACACACCAAACTGATTTAAGTAAATTATATTGTACTGGATTAGAGATGCTGATAACCGCAGGTAATTAACATATTGAAATGGAATCAGGATTATTTATTGAGTTCTACTGAAAGTTGTATTACCCAGTTGAAGCACGCTTCATCTACGGTTGGTGTTTTAAATGTCTGTTATGTAGAGATGTTGCTTCAATTAAAACAGGTGTACATGCTACACCCGCTCCGGTGAACCATCGCAATGTGATAAGTATGGAGATTGATGAATGGAAACCACAACCAGTGGCTGATGATGACCGACAGATTGAGGGCATGGATGTCTCCGAGATAGCAGTAAGTATTTCTGGGGTGTTGTCTGGAAACCTGAAACAGTGTTGATGAATTAGTCTTTTGGGATACTTGCTGAATTGTATACATATTGGATACATCAGGGTGAGCAGTAGGACACTTCCATCCATTGTCTATTGACAATTTACTATCAATACAATTAGATTTTGATTTGTTAGCCTACAAATTAGCTCTGCCTCTTGTGTAAATAAGGGAAGTGGATACTCCCAGTTAATCATATCTACTTAAAAAACTTGAGGACGAAAAATGTCAAATTTTGTAAATGTTTTTGGAAATTCAGTAAACCTGTGATTCTTTGTCAAAGTCCCAGATATATGGAATTTTTAGTGTGAGTGGCAGATGAGATGATGACTGGCATGTATGTAACTTATGTAAATTAAATAGATGTTTATGTTCTATTTTCAGTTGAAAGAAGTGCGGGAGCATCTACAAAAGCAAATTCCGACTGAGGTAAGATTTGCAATAAATAACATGGAAATAACCCTTCTGATTCCAACTGTCAGTGTACAAATGATAAACAGACCATTGGTAGAATATTCTACAAAATATAGGTCCCTATAATAAACTGTGTAACCCTTTGTCACTCACAATTTTCACCATTTAATGTCAAAACGTGAATATGTCATTTTAGCCATTGAAGAGCAGGAAATTAAAGCATGTACCAATAATTTCTTTCTCGGCCACTTCAATATTTCTGTTTTATAAATAGCAAAAGTAAAACACTGGCAAAAGTAAGGTACTAGCAAAAGTAAGGCATTGGCAAAAAACCTGGCATTCAGTATTATTGTTTTAAGTATAGACAAAGTCTGTTTTATAGGCCAAGTGTGTCATATATACTAAAATAAGGTCATCACAAGCTGTTTTCAATGTATAAACATTAGACTTGGTAAATAAGGTGGTGTGTCGTGTACAAAAAATGATAGGAACAGATGTGTAGGAGTAGGGATATCCATAAAGACCAGATCCAAATTCATCTCAGATCATTTGATAACATACTTTGACAATGTTAGCAGTTTACATGGCAAGAAACATAGGGCAGTCTCCTTGTAACCTCTTATTTCTCAAAGGCAATTCACCCAATGCTGGGATTCAAGTTTTCAAAATCAGATTTTGGTAACATTAGTATTTTTGTATATATTTAAATGTACAACAGGGCAAATTAATTATTTCTTTTTTGAAAATTCATGACAAAATCAGTCTTTTGTGCAAAAATGTATAAATGCCTATTTTTCCTTTTCTAAATGCATATTTTGCTTTGGCAAAAACTGCCATGTTAACAATTTGAAAGCTATGTCAACATAGCAATAGGATGAAGCTAGAGTTTCTTTTTTGTTGAATAATCAATAATATACTATATTAATTAATATCTAAACTGTTCATACACACTGTTGTCATCAAGTTTAAAGCTGTTAAAGAGATATAATTGAATCTTAATATCAGGGCAGAATGAGCATCAAAGAAGTCAGAGTTAGAAGTCAACACAATAATATCAGAACATAAATCAGCTGACTAGTGGCCTCTTATGTTATTACAGTATTGATAGCAACACATTATTATAATTTTGCTGTTTGCAGGTCACTGGTTCTCTCACAGAGCGTATATCCATAACAGATAGCCAGTCGAAGCTTGCCAATCTGCACCAGGTACAGGTATGTTAGTAAACAAACAAATTTCAGGGAAAGTGTACAAGCAGGCAAGTTTCAGGAAAAGGATAAGTGAATTAACTTAATTATATTAGAATGGACATAGAACATAGAATGTTTCAAATATTATGTACGATATGAAATGCTGACAACTCATGTCATTGGTATTAAAAGTTCGACTGGATATTTGTGTGTGCAAAAAAATTTTTAACTGTACAGTTAAACAATGATTTTCAACTTACTATTTGCTGTGCTAAAAAGTCTCCTCAGCTACGTAATGTCATAAATGGTCGAATGTGAGAGAAACTCTTTACAAAAATTTCTTTAACAGAAGCTGTTGATAGTGCTGGACACGAATGTCTTGATAGAAAATCTAGGATTTGTTGAGGAACTCCGGGATCAAGAATTCAAAGGTATATTGGTTGTAAATTCATCATAGTAATGTCAAATATATGTAAAGATGTGTAAAAATTATATTTGATTTATTATATCTGAAACTGAAAAGTTCTTATTGCAATTTGAAAATAATTTTGTTTGAATAAAGTTTAATATTTTGTTGATTTTCACTGTCAAAATCCATTAAGTATTAACTAATGAATATGCTTTTGATGTCATTTCAAAGCTTTTGGGAAGGGAGATACTGTGATTAAAGGCCTTGGTACATTTCTAGTATTACCATATTTATCCTCCCAAAAAGCCAAGGGGAACATTATATATTACCTCTGACTCATGTCAGGGGGATGGGTTTTTTTCGAGGACATTGAATGGCTTGTGTGAGGACATTGTAAGGCTTATATGAGGACATTGGAAGGCCTATGCAGGGACATTAAAGGGCTTGTGTGAGGACAATGAAAGGCTTGTGTGAGAACATTGAAATAGTATTGGTTGAAAATGATACTGAATCGCTATAAATATGGATGGGCTTATTGCCTGGCATGGGCTTATTGCAGATAAATACTGTTAGATATCGTTACAGCCCCTTCCCTACACATCCACAATGACTCAGATTGAAATGACTCTTGATATGTCTTTATGTTTCAGAACTTGCCAAGCCTTTACTTGTGATTCCATGGGTTGTGATGCAGGAGTTAGATGCTCTGAAAAACAGCAAAAACAACTTTGTAAGATACACAAATTGGTAGAATAAGATATAAGCCTGATAATTTTCTGTAAAACATTTTGTTTTCACAATTTGAGTACACCTTATGTTATATAAGTTTGCTACAGACTATAAAATCTCTTTATATTCATATTAATGATGAAAGAATATTTAACTTGTGACTTTTCAAGAATGGCATTTCCTGGAGAAAAATAGAGGGAGTGATGCACTTGACTTGATCTTTTTATTGCTGGAGGGACCGATACTTGGAGCTTTGGTTGTGAATGGTATTTCTATTAACTTATAAAAGAGGGAAAAGTATAGCTACACTACACCAGGCTACTACCAGTAGTCAAGAAGCTCTGTTGTTTAAGTTTCTTTCTAGAGTTTCGAGGCCTTGTGGGTTTTCTGGTCTAGTAGTTTTATTTTACCCTCTACTGTTATGTAATAACATGTCAAGAAATATCATGAGTTACTTTTGTACACTAATGAACATGACCTAGAAATGTATTGTAACATATTGTTCCTCTGAATAAATTTTGACCATTTGTTGACTTTTACAGTCGTTGTCCACAGCCAGAAAAGCAAGAGGTCCAGTTAATTTCCTGTTCCATTGCTTCAAAGTCCAACATCCTCGAATAATAGGTCAGACACCTGATGAGGTAAATAGTGTGAAAATACATTTATTTTGTAATGTTAGATTGATCAGAGTTATAGAAAATGATGTGACACAAGAATGATGGTGGAAAAAAACTTTTATAATCAAGTTGAGCAAAAGAAGTTATTAAGTACAAGGTTTTCCAACCAGTGCATTTAAATCTCATTTATCTTGGACCTCACAGACTGGTAAAGGTAGAGCATGTGTACCATACTGTTGAATTAATTCAACATGTGCCAAAGACAGAAATATTTTATTTATGGAGGAAGTGACTAGTAGAACATTGTATCTTTTGTAGGCTAAACAAGCATTAGAGGAGTTTACTCCGGAATGTAATGATGATCGTATTCTTCACTGTTGTCTCCATTACAAGAAGAGAAGTGAGTTGTATTGGACTTACTCCTATTTTTGTCACAATTCTCTTTAACATAAATGTATTGTGTAAATGAAAAATACTGGAAGTCACAAAAAAGTTATAAGACTATTAAGAATACAAATTTTACTTACACTAAATTTTCATATTTGTTTTGCTCTGCAAGAAATGGTGTGATGAACAATAAATAATCAAGTGGTCGTAATTCTGAACAAATTACAATTCAATAGTACAATATTGTCACCATGTTACAGATCCTGAATCACATGTGATCCTTCTGTCCAATGACAAGAATTTGTGCTCTAAAGCTGCCATACTGAAAATACAGGCATACTCCAGACAGACAGTGGTAGCAGGCATTGAAGCACAATCTAAATTTCTGTCCTCTGAGAAAGCCTCTGCAGGTTCAGAGATTCCCCATACACCATCCAAGAATCCTCGCATATCTCCTATCAGATCCCCAAGAGGTAATTAGTATCCAGTTTGATGTTATTCAGGTAGCTGGTTGTTCTTGTAATGTAAGTCCCTGTAAACAGCATCCTGAAATCAAGCAGCCACTTTGAATTTTGATATTTGAAGTTTGTTGATATTTGAAGTTTGATACAGCTACATTTCTGAACTATTTTTTTTTGAAGTAGGGAATTACTTTCAGTACTCTACGTAATGATTTAGGCTCAAGCATAGACTATCAATACCATGTCATGGAATAATGAAAGATTTTATTTCATTTTATTCAGCAACACCAGGATCTTCAAAACCACTACACAAACATGAAGAAAACTTTGATGATGTGGTATGTTTTATATAATAATGAAATGTGAAATTTGGTGTTAGTATAATGCAGACAAGTACTTAACATTTTCCAATTATATTCATACTGTTTACTGCTGCCTTGATATCTTCTTGTATAGATTTCCTTTGTCAGACACTAAGTATATAATACTCCTCATCAGTAGTTTGTCGTGCATTTCCTGATGTAGTCACTCCTTGCTTTTCAAAAATGGCTGTTGCAACTACTAACTTGGAAAGTGACTTGCTGGGTTCAGCTCTCATAGACTTGATTGATAGGAAATATTTGTTAATGTTTTTTTAATATTGTCATTCATTGCCTGCTTACATGGATTTTGACCTGGATTCAGTAACTGTAAAACAGTCCTGTTATTTTACTTGAATACTGAGAGCTATAATAAGTACTATATAGTTGTTATGTGATACTGCTGATATGGATTAACACATAGCATTTTGTTTCAGGAAGAAAAAAATTAAAAGATCTGGCCCCACTTGTATAAAACATCTCAACTTGAGATTTCCTCAAGTCGAGATTTGCCTCAGCTGATATCTCCTCAAAAACGGCTTGTATAAATTTTCTCAAGGAACAGGAGGAAGGCATCGGCTAGGATGTCCTGAAATTCCTAGAGGAATTTTCATACAAGATATTTTCAATGAGATATTAGCTGAGGAAAATCTCGACTTGATGAAAATCTCAAGTTGAGATGTTTTATACAAGTGGGGCCTGATGAGTATTTTATTTTTTTCAGGTTGACCAGATCCTGTGTAAAGCCAAGTTGCTGATAAAAGACTCGCTGAGCATTGTTCTAGAGAAGGAGATGAAAGTTGCATTTAGTGATGTGTGGCAAGTTTTCTACATTATAAGCTCCATCCTCGATACTCCAGGGGTTACAATCACCTTTGCTCCCTGCACCCTGGAACATTTCTTGGCGAAATTGAAGGCACAAGCAAAGCTAATAGATTGGACTGGGGTGGGTTTCAGGAGAAAAAACTGACCAATCAGGCTAATACGCTCCTTTGAAGATTGCAAAGGAGTGCATCACTTCCACTCTCTGCACCCCAGGAACATGTCATGACAAAATTGAAGGTTCCATATGCAACATCCTGTGAACAAGACAAGAAATTCAGTTTGAGCTTTTGATGCACATTAAACAAATCTCGAGGTTGCATAACAGTATATTGTAATGGCTTTGAAGTTGGGTGTTTCTCCCTTCAAAAGGAGTGTATCAACCTGTTATTGGTCTTTTTATTTTTCTCCTGGCACTGATGAAATGACCTGTGCCTTCAATTTTACCATGACATGTTCCAGGGATGCAGAGAGCAAACGTGATTGAAACCCCTGGAGTATCAATGATGAATGGAGTGACACCCAACTTTAAAGTCGGTACAATATACTGTTTTGCGACCTCGAGATTTGTTTGGTGTACATCAAAGGATCAACCTAGTCTTCTTATCTTATCCACACATGGAACCTTCAATTTTGCAATGAAATATTCCAGGAGTGTTGACAGTGATTGTGAGCATAACCTCTGGAGTAATGAGAATGTATTAGCTTAATTGATCCAATAATTTTATCACATGGTAGGCTTTTTGTTTTTGGTCAGTGCAGCAGCTTGTAACCACCATTTATCAACTGAACGGATCTCCTTGAAACTTTTTAAACATGTACAGTATGGGTCCTAAATGTGACGTTCACATCTGCAGTTCATTAGATGTTCAAGATGGCCTCAACAGCCATTTTGGATTTCAACATTTGAAGTTTAATACTGCTATTTGTCATACAATACTAAAGGAGTCTTCTGAAAGACTTGTTTTGTACAAGAACTCTTCAAGGATAGAATAGTGAAATTTATGACACCGGGTCTCTCTTTAAGTTGAATACAGCGAAATCAGGTATTGTAATGAGAATCATAGGAAAGCAATTATTTGTTCATTATTTCAGGATGGAAATTGTGTATAGAAAGCCACCATGGACATTAGAGGATATCCTAGATTGTTTCAAAAAGTAAGACAATTTTCTACATACTGAAAGTGTAGATTTGTTATCATAGCTCACTTTAGCTCTTAATACAACATGTCATCTGCACATCTAAGAAAAAAAGGGGGTTGATCATGACTTCTACATGGTACATCTATCTAGAATTTTTGGTACAGCTATTTAATGGAGTCAGGGTGTATTTGCACTCCCCTCTTTAGTTCATCTCAGACAGGATTTAGAAACTGCAAATTTACATAAAGGTATTTTAAGACACTATTTTGAAAATATTGCCTTCATATTGAATGTTAAATGAGCATACAGGAAGATTCTGTATATCAATCTTTTTAATACTAGATTAAAACCTCAGGCTTGTCACCTAGTGTAGTCAAATATATTAACATTCATTTTTCAGGACCAACTCAATCTAAATACACAGTATCTGTGATACATAGACTGAATGTATAATGCATTGTTGTTACAGAAAAACAAGAAACCTTTGTTCTCAACAACAAAAATTTATTTAAACTGACTAGATACAAATCATGTGTTTTAGTATAAAACTGTTGTCAGAGTAATTGCTTTTTCAGACATTGGACAGCAGTGTTTGGTATGATCTACAACAGAAAACTCAGGGAAGAGGTCCACCGCTTAGTGGAAAAATTCAAACCATTTAAAGGTAAAGTAAATCTTCAATAACTGGTTTTAACCATGTGTTCAATTTTCTTCTCATTGAATGGTGTTAACCATTTGTTTAGGGTTTTTTTTCTTTTATCATGTTAAAAAATGTTGGCACCAATATTTGTTTTCTATGATAGGATTTACACCAACGCTGGAAAGTGTAGGAGAACTGGTAGACGATGCTGTGAAAATTATAAAGGAATGCGAAGTCCATAGCAAGTAAGCATCATTCAGCATTCCAGAAACATGCTTAAGATGTGATTGTTTAACACAATTAATGAAAACAAGCGTTTACAAAAAATCTGTTTTGCAGTACCATTTTACTACCGACAACCTCCCCACTTTCAGCAAGTGCCCTTATTATGCATTGGATTCTAAATTTTATGAAGGACTTCAATATAACTCAATATTTGGTTATTTTCCTAGTACAATAAAAAACACTTAATATCCTGTTCTATTTGTCAGTCGAAAATGTGATGATAAACAGAATGTGACATTAATATGCACATGTGATAATTTTCTATATTCAATAATCCTAATCCATACCTCATTTCCTGTTACATAAGTTCAAATCAGTTATTTTAGCATCTTCAGCTTTGTAACAGAAATGTGTTCATGTACCTAAATTTAAGGATGATGACATTCGTAATGACGACATTGATATGCCATGGTTTGGTATTTGCTAAATTCAAATATAGGTCACCAAGATAATCAATTTCTCCCAAATTTGTCGTTCCTCAACAGTTACAATATACCTCTATAAACAGTTCACAGCCTACCCAATAGTTGACCTCCTGGTCAAGGTCAAAGTTTAATGTCAAGCAAAATTATGGCTACATCCCTAAAACCACCAACGAAGGACACAGCTGTGGACTGTATTGTATGCCATCAATCAGTGTAAAAAAAAATTGCACTTTCTTCAGATGTTGGGGGGGGGGGGGGGAATGTAAACACGATGGTTGGTGACTGTTACTCAAAGTTAATCTTCCACAATATAACCTTTAATGTTTAATCCATAACATTTATAACCATATGAACTTTCAATAGTAATCAATAATAATACAAATAACAAAACACAAAAATTAAGAAATACTTTATTATTTGACACCATTGATTTTATAGGTACTTCTAATTTGTATGTCCACAAATTGTTGAATTGATGCTACATTACTCTTGAAATCAAGTATCTACAAATGAGAATGTTTTTCAAAAACACAAAAATTGAGCTTCGCAAACTTAAGTATTTTTTATAAAAAAAAACAGAAATTGAGCCTCACAAAAAACCTCATCTCTTTTGTATTTCAGCTATGGTATATTATTCCAGGAGGCATCTGCTGAACTAAAACTGGTGCAGAAGTTTCAACAAGAATGTAACGCTGGCACCATCAGTGGAATAAATTTGAAAACCTACCTCAATAGGAAATCCATAAAGGTGAGTATGTCATGGTCAGTGTTCATATTGTCAAATTAGAAACAATACATTATTGTCCAGCATAGAATAATTCTGAAAAATACTATTCTAATTAATGTTACTTTAGGGGGTAACAAATATCATTATTTTTCATATCAGATCAAAGAAGAGTTAGCATCTGTAAATGTAAAATTTACACATACTGACTGATATAAAAGACTGAATTTGAAATGTATGTGTACTTACGTATAGAAGAAATTGAATTTGAAGTTTACCTGTCTTTTTTGTAGAAGAGATTATCTCTGGATGGTGATATGAAAACAGTCGCTCCTTCATCCCGACCTGAGTCTGTTAGCCCGCCAAGTGTGGCCTCTTCACACAGGTCACCCAGTGTGTCTGATGATGGTGTGATTCACATACAACCTGTAGAGAACAGATTTTGCACAGTCTGGCAGACCATCCTCAATATCTGGTGTGTAATCCTGTATTGGCATTGAAAAAGATGATTACAGGGGAGGGGATAGGTAGACTCTGTTTAGCTCAAATACCCGAAGGGCAAATGAACTTATGCCATGGTGCAGTGTCTGTCATACATCCATCTGTCCTGTGTCAACTTTTCCCTTCAAACTAATTTTCAATAATAAAAGGCAAAGAGTGCTGATATTGGGTCTGTAGCATGCTGGGATGTGAAGATTGTGCTGTGCAAGAGGAAGCACTTCAGGGTCAGAGTAAAAGTTGCTAAATTTAGATTATTGCTGAAATAAGTAATATATAGATATATATATATTTGATTTTGGGCATTGTAACACAATTGAGGAAAGAAGACAATTTTTTACTTGTGCCTTGTCCCCCTCTCAAACTCATGACCAACTGCACCAAATCGTCTGTCCAAGAAATCTCAAACTGCCTAACCACCACACCACCTCTACATCCCCATTAAAGGATGTTTAGCAGTAGCACTGATAGACAGCTAGAAAATCTGGTCGTGATCATAGTGGCCAATTGTGTAACTATGTGAACACCTGGATTGCAATGTATATACATACATATGTACCAAATGTACAAATAACACACATCAAACTTTGGTACAATTATGTCGGGTAACTCAAATCTGGAACTAAATATCTATATATATATCTTTAATGCAGAATTTATTATGTAAATTCTGAAGTATTTGGTTTCATGACTTCCACATTTGTTTTGAAGTGATACTATGAAGATGTGGGTTGAAACCTCTGCTGAAAAACACCAACAGGAAATGAATGACACTTTAAACAAGCTGGTCCCTTTCATCAAGGATCTACGCTATCATTTTGAACAGTAAGTAAGCGAAAGATTACGTATGTCACCTTTGTTTAGGATCTACGCTATTATTTTGACCAGTATGTGATATGTGATGTAAAATAATAAATTCTTTACATCACAATTATAATGAGAGATGTTTCATGTGACAAAAAGCAATGGCATTTCTGAACCTTTGATGACCAGTTATATAGAACAGTTTACTAATTACATGTTTTTTGTTTCAGTACCTTGAGTTTTTCTCCTACACAGATAAAGTCCCAGCAGATGCATGTGCATGACATATGTATCAAGCTCAACACTTTCTTCTCAGCCATGGAGATAGAGGTAATATCTGTTAATTTGTCTCCAGACCACTCATTAATTATTTCTCAAATAGTAGCTTTAATTTTAAAAACAAACTACAAACATTGGCACAAATTCTCAATATCAACATTAATTTCTCATAGACAGTAGTGAATATTTGCAGCTCTCACTGTTATATATAATGATATTGTTAGGCAGTGTTACCTCTCAAACTTCTCTGTCTAGTTATAAACTAAATGCTCCTCACTATGCCATGTCTATATAATTTTGATATCAAGATCCAGATTCCATTCAGTTTACACCAACAATAACCCTTCATTTAATATTTAGTTTAAGTTTAGATTAATTCCTGGTAGCAGTTGATGAATTTGATGAATGCAATATCCATCAGTACTATCTGGTATAACCTAATACTCCAATGTTACCCATGATACAGATGCTCGAGATGGTTGCCATCAGTTATTTGTCACCACTATTCATAAAAATAATTTTGATGCCCATAGTTGTTTGTGTATGGTTAAGACATATGCCTGATGTCATTTTTGTCTTCTACAACTATTGTGTAACCGAATCATAAAGCAATGTTTTACGTATGACCCAGTATTGCACTGAAACTGTTGAAATGTCAATGTCTTAAGGTCAATCTTGCATTCATTTCAATAAAATACACACATCATGTTATCAAAATCTGGACATGTTACCATGACAACATCACAATATGCCCAGCACAGTTTTAGAAAGACATTGGTTTGTTTTAGCAGTCAAAACTCCAGGATTTGGAAAATTATTATTGAGATTATTGAGAAGTAAAAAAGGGAAAAATTTCCAATGTGTTGGTCCTGATAATTTCTTTCATCACCTTCAATTCTACAAGTGGTTATCAACCTCTTTCAATACACATTAGATAACAACAGGTATTATCTGGAGGAACATGTATTGGTAGTATGTACAGGATGTATACCTCCAGTGGATTTTCTATTCAATATGAAAATGTCCAGTGGATACTTAAAGTATGCATCCAGGAGTTCAGTGCAAAAAGAGATGGGTCTTTTGATATTGTGCAGCCACTTTTGTACTGTTGTAGAAATTGAAAATAAACAACTAGAAGTAATTTTACTATTTTTGATGATGAAGATATCGAAAATCTGCTATGAAATACCCATTAACCTTTTTATACGCCGCATTTTATATTGGCGTCATGTTCTCCGTCTGTCTGTCCGTATGTCCATTTCTTGTGAACGCAACTTCTCCTAAACTAATTATCAGATTTTCATGAAACTTGCTCAATGTCACTACTACAATGGGTAGATGTGCATGAAGGGACGATTTTGTGGTTCGTTGATTTTTGTAAGATTTATGCCATTTTCAACTTTGTATCTGTACTGCTAATATATTGGAACAAGATATATACAGTGTATTTATCATTCAGGAAAGTTGTGAACCTGTTGAGATTGAGCAAGTTCAACTCTATTTTGCAAGTGAAGAAAGAAGGTAAGTGTATTGGTGTTTTGCTGAGCAGTAACATAAAGAGAAAACATTGTATCAATAGTAAATCAGAGTATGTACCTCCAGGAGTCAGGTACTTCATGCAGGACTTGTGTCAGAAGGAATATTTCTGTTTGTCGTAGACATCTGACGGTGGTACCCAGAAATTGTTTCCCTTATAGCTAATCAGTCCCAGAATAGTTCCCTCAATAAGGATAGATAATATGGTTCTGAAGATGCTGATGAGATGTGCTGTATTTTGTCTGATGTTAACTACAGTCACAAATTGTATTACTCCTGTATAATGTCTAGATAATCCTGTCCTTAATATGTTAAAGTATTGTCATGCAGGTCACACTTTATCATTTTACATATATATATAACACACTATTGCAATGTAATAAATCCAATTCTGATTTATGCTGAACTATTTGAATGTGTTAGCATACATGCCATGATAGTGTAGTAGTACCAACTAAACAGATTAACTTAATATTGTGATTTTTGCACAGAACTATGTTGAGAGCTGGTCTACAACAACTGGATGAGATGATAAGAAGCTTATTTACATTTCTACACTTACTGCCAGACTGAAGGCTGTGAGAGAGGTGCTGATATTCTACACCTGCTGTCAGAGGATTGTAAGGGATTCTACAGATTCAACAACTACTGCCAGACTGAAGGCTGTGAGAGAGGTGCTGATATTCTACACCTGCTGTCAGAGGATTGGAAGGGATTCTACAGATTCAACAACTACTGCCAGACTTAAGGCTGGAAGGGACTCTGCACATTTCTGACCTAATGCCAGACTGAAGGTTAGGAGAGGGGTGCTGTACATTTCAGCATCTTTTTCCAGACTGAAGGCTGAACGAGATACTGCATGTTTCTACACTTACTGCCATACTGAATGTTGGAAACAGTGCTGCACATTTCTAAACCTACTGTTAGACTGAAGGTTTGAAGGGGTGCCTCACATTTCTAAGCCTACTGCCAGACTGAAAACTTGAAGCAATTGTGAACATTTCTACACCTACTGTCAGACTTAAGGCAGGAAGGGGCACTGCTTGAAAGATGTAGATCAGTTTTAAATGAGATAATGTTCTTTCATATAGATTTCATTAATATAAGTGTAAGGGGGTGGTTCTCTGGAGATGTAGAGGTTGGAGAATACTGTACATGAATGTATGCAAAATGGGCTTTCTAATGACAGTATTGCATGAAATGAAAATGGAGGAACAGGCCTGGATTCGGACGCTAACATCAGTTAAGTGGTTCATGGGAAAGATAGGATTTGAAATAAGATTATTATATACTTTGTTAGAGTATAAAAAGAACCTGCTGTGGATGATCAGAAATAAGAAAGAAGGAAAGACTTTGAAAAGGACTGGATTTACTAAAATATTTACACAATAACCGATTCACTTTGAAAACAAAAAGTGTTGATAGATGATTCACTGAAGAACTTGAAAGCAGATAGTACTTGCATTAAAGTCATATTACTGTAGGTAGAAATTCCTTATTAATCAATTATTTCTATGACGGAGAAATTACAATATTGAATGTTGGCTTTGGAAAGAAATACAGAAAAGGAGAGAGTTCAGCTTTGAAGTTCTCTAATGCAGAGAATGTTAAAAATACGAGTAGAATGAAGATAACTTTTGTAAGTAAACATTTATAGAATTTTGTGATAAATTAAATGGTGCTTTTCTTGTGATGTTATGATTGCAAGTGCTATGAATTGATTGTTAGAGAAACTTTGTTTGTCAATATTGCTTACCCAAACCAGTTGGGTTCTTCATCTGAACTGGTCTTCATTACGAAATATATGTATGTTTCTTACTCCTATCAAATACTCAATGCAAGTAGTAAAAATAGTATATACTAACAGTATTGTTTTATACTAGAATCATTTCAACTGTTGTTGGCACAGTTATGTCTATAGAATCTCGATGTTATGCATTCATTAACATGAGAATAATCCATCCAGCTGATTGGCTTCACAAATGACATTCTCAAAACGTTTGCTAATGTTACAGTGAGGATGTTGGTAATATGTTTGCTTGTGGGCATTGGTTCTTTAACTAGGAATATAGTTCCTGGCCTTGGGCATTATTTATATGACAACGAAAATAGTCATAAATCTTCCCTGGTTGAAGTAAATTTGCTTTGGCATTGGTTCTTTAACTAAGAATATAATTCCTGGCCTTGGGCATTATTTATATGACAACGAAAATAGTCAGAAATCTTGCCTGGTTGAAGTAAATTTGCTTAATCATATGTGAATCGCCAAAACTATATGTCTTTTAAAGACCTTCGTAATATTCTTTTTGTACTCCAGTGCACTGTATGAATACTAGCAGAAGAAAACTTGGTTTTCCGTTGACTTTTAACAAAATTTAAGAAAAGCAGAAGGTTGATTTCTAAAATAACAGGTAGCTATATTCACATAATTCTCTTATCTGCAAAGATTCTCCAACAAGAATATGTTTTCATGTTATACAGTATTGAGAAGTTTATTTATGTAGCTATATTATCAGAGATTACAGGAATATACTATATGATGAGATTGCTGGGAATACAAGTCGATAAACACACATTCAGAGATCAGAAATACTCAGGGGCATGGATAATTATCAAGATAATTTCATTACTTTTCAGGTTGACTTAATTTTTGTGATGAACACTTTCAATGAACAGTTTTTGATTGAAATATCTAGACAATACCATTGCTTTAATATCCAATTTTTTGAGTTTTTGTTAAGAATTGTTGAATGTTTTGGTGTCAACTAAGTCATTCAAGAGGCTTAAACCTGAGAATGTGAGCTTTAAGATTCCAAAGAATTTGTTGAGAAACATCTTTTCTTGAAAAAATACAAACTATCATTTTAAATAGAAAAGTTCTAGTCATATGATGTTGTAAAACATATTTGTATATAAAGTGAAGTGTGTATTTTGAGGGGTACAGCTGCTGGACAGCAATTTAAAGGTGCATTAATGATACATTAGTGAAACATAATAACCAAGTTGCAGACAACCAGCAGGCCTCGTGTTTGCTAACTTAATTATATTTCTTCTCGGGTTGAGATCCCCTTTATCACACTTCTAAGTGGTAAAAGATACTATCAGTCTTTATCTCACATTGGTGAGCAACACTTGTCTATTGTAAGATCAGGGAGGAATTCCCCCGCCTGTAATGAAGAGGCTTGATGTTGCTGTGTTGTTAAAATTACAGTTTTTTTTGTATCATTGTCATTGAAACTTATTTGTGAAAAAAATGCCAAAGTGTTCTCACAGACACATTAATGTTGCAATACCCACATGTGTTCTTATTGCTTCTCACATGATACATTTCACATTGTATATGCTTGTATATATGGTGCTGCAGAGATGTGTCTTATGAAGTGTACAATAGTAGTTAGTCATCCTGGTACATTACTTTCAACTTTAATGGTTCCAATTGCAAATGCATTTCCAATATACATGTTAACTTTGTCACTAAAAATATTGACTTGTAGCTGTTACATGCTAAAAACTATAAATATTAAGTTTTTTGTATAAGATTTTATTCAAATATTGTATACTTACTGATGAACAGATTGTACCAATATTGTGTTACTGTCTCATCTGTGCAAGCTTTGTCAATAGTTTTAATCAGGTCACCCGAGACAGTCTTGTGGTGACCTATGGCAATCACCTTTTGTCTGGCGTTGTGAGTCGTAAACTAATATTTTCGACTTCTTCTCAAAAAACCCTGAACCAATTTTACTGAAATTTTACAGAAACCTTCCATACCCAAAGGTGCACTAAAAGTGTAAATCATATGGTCCCCATCCACTAGGGGTCTGGGGTAGGACAAAAAAAGTGTCAAAAAAGATTCAGGTACTCTTCATGGATGGAAAGGCACTAAGATGCTGTACCAAACTTGTCAATTTCATAACCCCAGGGTCCAACATTACCCCCAGGGGAGGGGGAAAATTTACTAAATTTATATAGGAAAATTACATTTTTGAGCATAATTTTATTTATCTTTATTTTCTATTGGAAATGATTCAAACATGGTTAGAATTGTTACAATAGGATGACAATTTGATGATATAAACATGTTGATCCTGATTATTATGCACAGTTTACATTTGAATTACATGTACAATATAGTTCAATTTATCTTGCTTTATTAACAAGATTATTTCTATGACATGTTATAAAAAGAACAGCATTGTAATTCAGGTGATCATTATGGCCATTGGACCTCTAGTTAATTGATAAACGTGAAATGGTAACGAGTGAGGGATAATGTATAAATGATAAAGTTTGGATTTTGAAGTTGTTACTGTTGTATCTTCAGAATTGAAAGGAATAGGAGTGTGGAAGCATAAAACTATTATGTGTATTTTCTTAGATGTGATAAACTCTTGAGCATGGTTACATTGAGCAAGCTGATGTAAATTCATTTGTAGTTTTTGGTTCTGTGAAGCATAACAGCTTGTACGAGATATACATTCAGCAAGTAGCTGCAACTTGTTCATTAGTAAAATATATGAATTGTTGACATTAAAAATGTGTTATAAATTTCAATTGGTTTCTTTTTGTTTTTATCATCAGAATTTAATATTGGTAATAAAAAAAAGAGACCTGATAGAGATCTTGGCACTAACAAAGATATTCTCTTGTATCTTTTGGATGCTGTTAGCCATGTCAAGTCCATGAACCATGAGGTACCATATTCAAAAATTCCTTTTGTTGTCCAGACTAAGATTTGTCGCCAAACCTTAAGTACTAGAAAATTAATTTGTAAAATTACATGAAACAAACATTAGACATCTATTATCTGAGCTTTTCTATAAAATCTAGAGAAGATCCCTTAACAAGCTTTGAATATCAAAATCCAAAATGGTAATTTCCAGGCAATTTTGAAAATCTAAAAACTCATAAGGTATGCACATTACTAGGACCCGAAGTAACCATATTTACAATATTTTATTGAAGTTCAAAATGGCAGCCATCTTTAACATTCCATGAAACTAAAAATATGACGTGTATTGGTCAATAGGACACACTGAACATGTCCATGAAGTTTCAAAATTACTTCTAAAGCCAAGATTCAAAACTGCAGTCATTTTGAATATCCCGATGAAACTCTCGCTGTAGCATAAATACACCTTAAATTTGAATCAGTAGTACTTAGAAATAAATTTATCAAGGAATTCTTTTCAGGAAGGACCCTTTGAACGACAGGCATGAACCAGCATTAGAAATATGTCTTTAATGTTGAAAGATCACAAAAGGAAAAATGATCAGTTAGACAAAAAGTTCATGTATATCACACAATGATGGCTATAGATCATTTTGATTAGTTGGGTCAGATGACCTTAAAAGCTTACATGTGACCCCAAACAGACAGATGAATGATAGATGCTACTAAGGAGCATTTGTCCACATAATCCTTCAGGATAAGAAGAGACCAAACACTTCAGAGATACAGTGCCAGATATTTCAGATCATTTTCTCCACCATATAATAGTTTTTAAAACACAACCAGTAAATAAAAGATCTGAGTCAAATCAACTACAGTACTTTTTTAACATCTTGTATACACTTTTGCCATAACTTTTTACCATCTCATCACACTTTTTCTACCGTATTGACGTAAGTTGTTAATTCCTTACCATCTTGTACACTAAGTACATAAGTGTAGTCATTAAAACATCACACAAATCTACTGGTTGTGTTGTAAGATCTTCTATTCTATAGAAAGCCAGTGTACAAGATAAATACAACACAAAACAATTTGTTTTCTTAAATGATATTTTACTCCAAAGGTTTATGACTCCATCATAAATTAACATTCAGTTTTTACTACCTGCGTACAGGTATAATGCCAGAAAACACATACCATATATTTGATATGAAAAAATGATGCTACAGGGAAGATGGTGTTTTTACATAATGGGATAAACGCAAAACAAATCAACACACAAAACAAAATTTTCATAACACTTCAATAACAACACCATTTCATATACTCGTTTTGATTACTGATCACTAAGTGAATTGCTGGGTTCAAAAGCATTGAAATCTAGAAGTTTTCTTTATCAGAGATTGACCTGTACAAATGTAGGTGTCTGGCTTTATAGTTACTTCATAAAAACAATCTTGATCAATTCATTGTTCAGTTGGTCACTTTAGGCCTGTGAGTATATTAAACCCAATATCAACAATAGGCAACAGATGGCTTGAACAATCTCCAGCGCTGATCATGTTTCCAAGCAGAGAAACATTAACCTTAATACAAGTATAGATCACAGAGATCCACAGATGCTCTCAATAGTACATATTTTTAAAACTGTTCACTGATATATATATTTCTATTTTGCTCACTTTTTCAGTATACTTAGCTTTGTAGTAATGTAAAATTTGTTGCAGATTTTATTTAAAGACATTCATAAAATGTGGTCTTAAAATTGTATTTAACAATATCAGGAAAAGATGTTTAACTGTCAATTGAGGGTAGAAATTCGAGGTAGGGACAAATATTCAAATAACACACTTCAAATGGATAAGCTCACCAACATTTCATACCTGGTTTGATAACAGAAAGATATTTCAAACAATATTTCCAGGAACAGGATTCAGGAATTGCAAAAGCATATTTTTCCCCCCAATCTTAATATTAGCCTGACATGTGTTTGGTTCTAGTTTGGGAAACAAGTGCAAACCTTCAGGAAATGCATTTTGTATACAATAGATAGCAAATGCAAGGCCAAAATAAGATAGGATGCATGTATATATCAGCAATACATTAATGACCATAACCATCTTGTCAAATCAAACATGTACAATAATTCCCTTTTCCAAAGCCATACATCTTACTTAAACATCATTTCATTTGTTTATACAGACTTTCAGCATTTGAAGCATAAATATCATATTTTTTATATAATATATAACAAAAGATAAAATGTCATTGCCTTTTTTACATACTGTGAAATCATATTCCTATAGGCCATGGCCTGCACACTAGGGCCTTAATGATCTCTTATATTCATTATAAGTGGTCTTTTTCAAAAGGGCATATTTGTATTGTCAAAGGTATAAAAATTTACCAGTCAGTTATTCAATAAACTGTGTCCATTGGATGGGACATTAAGAATTTAGGACTACAGGCCAAAATCCTCTTGATTTCCAGTTACACATTTAACTTGCAACACCATTTTTTTCCTACCAGGTATACAAATTTTGAATTAGAATTCAACTCAATTAGACTCAGAATTAGACACAATTTGTTCTCTCTGTCACTATATTCTGCTTTATTTTTTGTTTTGTTTTGGTTTTTTTTCATATTTAAATAATTACAGATAAGATATTGCAAAATTAATCATTTAAACCTTTAATGATAATTTACATTCTTTGTAGAAACAAAAGAACATAAAATACATGAAATACCAATAGATAAAATCAATAAAACTGAAAATTGTCCCACTTATCCGGAAAGTGTGTGAAAAATGAACATTTTATATTTTCACTTATGATTCAGGTTAAGTATTAACAAATCACCAACTGTATAATCTTCTATACAACATCAATATTTGAATAAAATTAATGCTGACCTCAAAACAAGAAAAAATTGCACATAGAACCAATAAAAATCTAAGGTGATAAAATAACAAATGATTTAACTAAATGTGATAATATTTACAATTATATTTGTCAAATTTAGTGCAAGCCTGCTTTGATAAAATATCTATATTTCTTCCAAATTCATCATGTTCAATAGCAATGGTATATACACAATATATAAAATTTCATTAAAAAATCAAGAAGAGTTTTGAGCAATATATTAATGTAATGTCAAAAATTAAAATCTTCTTTCCCTGTCACTCAACTTGTAAATCAATAGTACTTTTGTCAAAAGAAGATTGCCAGTGATCAGTTGGTTTATTCATTACCTTTGTACTGGCCTTTTTATGGGGAATGGCCTGTCTGGATTCTATGATCATAAAGTTAGTTACAATTTAGGTGTTGAAAAAGAAGTATAGTATTTTGACATCTAATGAATGCTCTTAAAAAATTTTGAACTTCGATGAAGAATAACTGTTAATTAAGCATGTTTTTTTCTTTTGTCTTTCAGAAACAATTAATCACAGTTTCCATTACCTTTTGATGTATTACAGAGGTGTAGGAATTGGAAGAAACAAAACAAAGATCATGAAGACAAGTGTGTAAATTTCAACATATTTTGAAGACTAGCTCACAGGCGGATGGTACTTAATTTTATAAACCTAGTCTTTATGTTCATAAGTTCAAGTTTAAAAATGTTTCATTTCCTCAACATAAAACAACCAACCATGAACATGATTAGCAGAACCCCTTAATACAGCCAGTTCCAGGTCTAAGAAACTTGAACCACCCTGGATCCACCAGTGGTTGTATTACTATTGCTAGGTATCTTCAATTCAATACAATTGGAACAAATGTTTTGTAGACATATGTCTCCTCAGAGGAGTGGGGATGAATCACAGAATAGATATACATATATATATATCATAATGTTTACCAAGATTTCAGTTGATTCCTAAATTTATCCCAATTTCAGAATAGATTATCATTTTCCATGAAACCTTTAAAAACATGTCAAACATTTTCTTTAAACACATATTCTTGAACTTCTTACAAAACAAAACATGATGAATTAACAATAGAATTCAATCACAAATGTGATATACAGCAGGACACATTCTTGTTGTTCACAACAAAGTATGACACTGCAAGTGATGATGTAGTATACCCAGACCAATCATTTGATTGCAAACTAATCATATCTGACATTCATCCAAACATATCTTTGAAGTACACACACATATAGATTAGGTTTGACATCAAATCTAGTAAGCCATTTTTTACAAACCAACCCAATATTGTCTCACACTATAAACTACATGTATTATATTTTACATACATCAAATTATACATCATTTCATAACCTGGATCATATCTAGCATACAGACTGAAATGTTTGCTTATCATGAATTAATTGTAAGCAAGTAAAAGTCTATTACACCACTTCATTCATACATGAGTCTTACATGAGCACATTATCTACCAACTCAGCCGTTTTTAATATGCTAAAAATGAATCATTATAT